CTATCGGAAAGTCACCAGGAAGTCGGAAACTATCAGATAGGGTCAGGACGTTGGCTTCAGCTTATGTGCTGCACCTCTACGCAAACACTCAAAGTCCTTAATTTCAAAAGTAAGGCTTACGATGGAAGATATGGATATTCAGAGTTCCGAAGAGTTTCGAATATCGAGCATACAGAAAGACGGGAGGAGGAATAAGAAACTAAGTCGATATCAGATCTAAGGTAAAGTACAAATTCGCGGAAACTAATATAAGTCTACTCGTTATTGTACTACAAACTAAGACCATAATAAGACGGAAACGGAAGTGTTCTTAAAACGGAAATACAATAAGACATATTAGGAAGACAATATTCCGAAACGGGAATATAACAACAAACGAGTGAATACTTGTCAACAGACAAATTACCAAATGCAGAACAAGGGAAGAATGCAGATGATACGGTAACTATGATGTTCCGTAGTCGGAGATCGGAGGTCGGAAGTTGGAGGTTGGAAGTTGGAGGTTGGAAGTCGGATATTGAAACATCCGGGAATGGGTCGTAACAGTACCCCCCTGTTAGGCTGAAATCCCATAGAGGCAATTAGGTACTGAGTGATTGAAGCGATGGCTGATTATTATGTGTCGTGAAATTTATGCAATTCTGGAGGTGAGAGTTTTGGCTGATGTTCTGAGTATAAAAACCTCCAGATATTCGAATTAACGTTGTTGTTTCTTTATCCACAACTTGTATGTCAATTCGTCGGCCTCTATTCATTACTACCCCAGAAGATTCAGATACCAAAATTGCTGTTCTACAAAAAATGTCGAAGGTCGCAGAACTTCAACAAAAACGACAAAGGATGGAGGAGTTGAAGTGATGACAGGAGGAGGAGGAGAAAGTGTTGATGCAGGAGTTGAAAGATGTGGAAGAGGTGGAAAAATGGGAGTTGGAGCGGGCGAAGGTGGAAAAAGAAGCATGGATCCAGAAAACGGCGGAGGCTCAGAAAAAGAAGGAAGAGGCGGAAAGGTTACAGCGGAGTCAGAGGCGGCAAAAAAATGTGAGGAGATAAGGGAAGGAAAGGTAAGTGAAAACCATAAGTTTCCGTGTTCCAACTGATAACTATTGGGTACAGCAAAAAGCCGTGGAGGTGGAGGTAGAGGGAGAAGCTGGACCTTTGAGTCCTAATGTAAGTACATCTACAAAAGGACCGGTAATTGATTAACTTCCAAAACAAAAGCCAAAGGTCAAGGCTCCGGAACAGATGGAAGTGGTCCATGAAAATCTGTGTTATCGATGTTCCATACAGAGTATGACATGTTGGAAACAGAAGGTAAAATGGGGTGGAACTTGCTATCCCTGCGCGGTTCTTAAACTTCCGTGCACTCTTGCCTCGAAAAGGGTTCCAAAAGGTGAGAAGGCTCAGAAGACTAACGACGTGGAAAGTTCGGGAGTGGCCAGAGCTGTGGAAACTGAGGTGCCGAAAACGGATAGTACGGGCATTGAGCTCCTCAAGGACACCGTTGACGTGTTGGTCTTTATCGGGAGGGAAGTCATGACAATGTGGGATACACTAGATTGCCATAATGAGATCCAGGAAAAAGGTTTCCGCTCGTTGATCCAGAACTTCCGGAGGCAAAATGAATTCCTGGAGAAGGTAATGGTTAGCATCAGTGTTATCGCAGTTTCCGAGAGGTTTTCTGATAAGGCACGGGAACAGCCTAATGATCCATTGGCAGATTGTGTCGAAAAAAGGTGGGAGTCAGGAAATGGGCTGGAAAGTGAAGATGAAGAGGTACAGGATATGGTGGAAAGTGCGGAGATTGCTGATGAGATGGAAGTCGGGATGGAAGGTGGATTTGGGGTATCAGAGACTTTAAAATAGATGCGAATAAATTTGACTTGTACGATTTCAAAACGAGTGTGATGTCGGAAGTAACGGAAGTGTCGGAAACTGAACAGAAAGAAAACAGAAATGATCAGAGTAATGATAAAGGTCCGGGTTTGCTTGGATAAGCCGTGTGGAAATCAGTAACAATTTCCATAGCGTGTCCAAGTTCTGTGGCCAATATCCATGAAAAGTTTCCTTGTCAGTACCTTCATAACCTGCCCATTTGACTAAATAGAGCAATTTACAAGTACGTCGGCGATTATCGATTTTAGAATCCAAAATTTTGGAAACTTCAAATTTGGGTTCTCCATCAATGATGACCGGAGGGGACGGAGGTTGAATACGTTCCGGGATTTTGTTAGGAACACAGGGTTCTAACATGGAAACGTGGAAAACGGGATGAACTGCTCGCATACTATCGGGAAGTCGGAGAGTCCATGAGAGTGAACCGGCTTGTGCTATAATTTCAAAAGGGCCTAAGAATTTCTCAGTGAGTTTTTTAGAAGGTCGGGTAGTACGGAAAAATTGAGCTTTTACAAAAACCTGATCACCGATTTTAAAATTAGGAGGCAGGATCCTGTTTTTGTCCACGGAACATTGATAATATTCCTGTGCGGAAGAAATAGCTTTCCAAAGTTCTTGATGCAATTCGTCGAGGTCAGTAATAAATTCTTGAGCATGGACAGAAGCCAAATCTCGTTCGGGATGTACAGTGAGATTCAGATTATAGCCTTTGTTGGCGAAAAAAGGAGATATGCCGGTGGTTGCATTTGGAGAGTTATTGTAGGCAAATTCCATGATCGGAAGAAGGGATTTCCAGTTGTCCTGTTGATAATTGCAATAGATGTGGAGATATTGTTCCAATGTTTGATTTACACATTCCATTTGTCCATCACCTTCCGGGTGATATCCCGAGGTGAAGTGTAGTTTCATGTTGAGGGCTTTTCCGAGGGCCTGGAAGAAATGGGAGACGAACTTGGAGCCTCGATCGGAAGTTACCTGAGATGGAACTCCGTGTTTGGAAAATACGTGAATAATGAAAAGTTCCACTAATTGTAAGGACATGATTGTATCATGAGTGGGTATGAAAATGCCTTGTTTCGAAAATCGATCCACAACAACTAGAATGGATGTAAAGCCTTCGGAAGTCAGGAGTTGTTTGATAAAATCCATGGAAATTGAGTTCCAGGGTTTTTCTGGTATCGGGAGTTGCTTGAGAAGGCCGTACGGCTTATGCCTCTGGGTTTTGGAGCGTAAGCAGGTGGTGCATGACTTACAGAACTGGGTTACGAAATCTCGGAGGTTGGGCCAAGTGCATTCTCTACGGATTAAACCAAGAGTATTGTTAATGCCGTAATGTCCAGAGATTGGATGATCGTGTTTATACTGAAGTACACGGAGTCGGAGATTGTTGGAATCTGGAACATAGATACGTCCATCGAGATGGATAAAACCTTGAGATTCTTGTGACCATCGGGGTTGGTTCGGATTGTCAGGAACTTCTAGGTGTGGCTTGAGAGCCGGGTCAGAAGTGAGTGTGGAACAAATATCTTGATGTAATTGCTCAATGTCCATAATCATGACGCTACGCATAATTGGATAGTACAGGGAAGTTGCTCGGATAGATGCGGAAAGTTGTTGCATTGTAAAAACTGGTTTTAAGTTATGCGGATTAACAACGGCATAGTTACTTTCCCCCTCTTTAGGATAGATGTCCCATCATCGAGTCATGGCATCTGGTTTTCCACCAAGATGTCCAGGTCGGAAATGGAAAATCATATTGAAAGCGGAAAGGAATTCAGACCAGCGGGCTTGCCAGCGGGTTAAGATTTTAGTGGTAGAAAAATATTCGAGATTTTGTGATTGGTAACAATGTCAACGGGAGTTGCGGAACCTTCAAGATAATGGCACCAATGTTTGAAAGCCTCAAAAATTGCCAAAAGTTCCTTATCATGAACGTCGTAGTTGAGTTTGGACACTTTCAGTGTCTGAGAAAGAAATGTGACCAGATGAATTTCTCTGTCGGAATCTTGAATGGAAAGAATCACGGCAATTGCATAATCGGAAGCATCAGTTTCCACAATAATCGGAACATCAGGTTTCCAATGGGAAAGGATTGGGGCAGAAGTGAAAGCATTTTTTAAAGTCTGGAAAGCGGAGCGGCATTTGTCGTCAAAGACCCATGGTTGAGTTTTACAGGTAAGACGAGTGAGCGGTACTGTAATATCCGAGTAGTTCCGAATAAAATGACGGTAAACATTGGCAAAACCTAAAAATGACTGAATGTCCTTGACTTTCCGTGGTTCAGGCCAGTCACAGACAACTTGAACCTTAGTTTCATCCATATGGAGACCATCAGGTCCAATAATGAAACCTAAGTATTCAATAGAATCCATGTCAAAGTAGCATTTTTTACCGTTGGCGAAAAGACCGTTTTTACGGAGTCTTCGGAAGAATTCACGGACCTGTTCATCGTGGAGAGTGGGATCCTCGGAAAATACCAAAATGTCATCCAAATAGACTATAACACATACGTCAAGCATGTCGGAAAATATATCATTAACAAAACGTTGAAAAGCGGAAGGGGCGTTGGTAAGGCCGAACGGCATAACCAACTATTCAAAGGATCCATAGCAAGTCCGAAAAGCAGTTTTCCATTCATCACCCTCAGCAATTCGGACCAAATGATAGGTGTGTTTGAGGCCTATTTTGGTGTAGATCTGAGCTTTCCGTGGGGCATCGAGTAAATCGGTAATGAGTGGAAGTGGATACTTATCTTTCCGTGTGATGGAATTTAATCCTCTGAAATTGACACAGAGTCGAAGGGAACCATCCTTCTTTTGGACGAAAAGGACAGGTGCTCCATACGGAGACTTAGATGGACGGATAAAACCTATCGACAGATGTTCATCCAGGAACTCCTGAATAGATGAAAGTTCCGATTGGGATAATGGGTAAATAGGTCCTAACAGATGTTAGATTTGGAAATACAATATCTATTAGAATGTCCAAGCTGTTATAAGTCCCTAGTTGGCATCAGTCCAGATGTGACTGTATAAGTCCCAAGGTAGCATCAGAAGGACTTATATAGAATATGTATATATAATCCATAATATCTCACTAGACCAATAGGTCCAGTAGCTCAGTGGTTAAGAGCACTGCTTATATAAAAAGCCAGAGGTCCTTGGTTCAATCCCAGGCTGGGTCAATTCTTTTCTATACCTTTAACAACAGAGGGTTTGAACCAGGCTCAATATCGATTTTTAAGTCGTAGGGCCTATGTGGTGCAAGCCTGTCAGCTTTTTGCTTACTGAAAATGTCCGCGAAATCATGGTATTTTTCAGGAACTCCTTCCAGGTCAGCTTTTAGCTTGGATAATTCTGGAGTCGCAAAACGTCCAGATGCTTCATCAACTTTTAAGCTGATCGAAAAACACTGTGAACCATCCAGTTTACTCGCCCTAACAAATGCCGAAGCATTGATGAGAGAGATTTTTGGAGGCACGGAGGTTTCGGTAGAAGCCGGAGATGCCATTGATGCTGAAAAGGCATTGGCCGGAAGAGACGCTGCAGGAGGAACCGAAGTGTCGGGAATTCGGAAATTAATACTGCCCAGTACCCAGTCAATCAATGGATTATATCGGGTGAGCCAGTTGTATCCAAGAACTACCAAACAGCTAGAGTCCAACTGTGTTATGAAAAAAGTAACCATCTGGGATGTTCCACAAGGGAACTGGATAGACATGTCGCAGGCTTGGGTAATTACCGTATTGCTAGTGCCATCAAACAGACGCAAGGAAATTGTGGGAACAGAATGGAGTTTCAGATTATGTTTTGTGGCAAAGGTGGTATCTACAAAACAGTGTGTGGAGCCAGAATCTATCAGAGCTTGGAACACTAAATTTCCAAGAAAGTCAGAAACGAGTTTTACAAATAATGAATCGTGATTAGAGAGAGCAGATGTGTTGAGACGGATAACCTCGGAAACACGGAGAGAGTCAACACAACCCTCTGTCCGTGCAGATTCCAGAGTTCGACTCCATGGCGGGTTTTTCCTTAGATGTTGTAGTCGTAGTGGAAGTTACCGCACGGGCCTTGGAAGAGTTAGATTTAATGGTACAGTCAGAAACCTTGTGTCCGCCTTTCCCGCAGAAAAGGCAGAGGTCGTTGTCCATACATCGTTGTTTCTCCTTCGGGGTGAGTTTACCGTTGGTACCCAACAAATGGGAAATGTCGGGTTTGTCGGAAGTTGACTGTTTTTCCTTGTTGGATTTTTTGTCTTTCTTCCGGTCGGAGTTTGATTTGCCAGTATTAGTGCCAGAGTTGCCGGTGCTATTGCCTGAGTTGTTGCCGGAAGACTTGCTAGTTGATGCCTTGTTGTTCTGAGAACGTTCCGTCGGGTTTTCTCGAGAAACCTCGGCTTTTCATTCCCAATAACGGGCATTGGATGTTTGAGCTTCAATCCGCATGAGTTGGAGAGTTTTCGCCTTTCCATCTTTGCTGATTTCATCTTTAAGGCGTGACGGAAGTCCCATATAGAAATGGTGTCTGAGGGCAGAATCGTCCCATCCACATCGTGCAGTGAGGGTATTGAACTTGACGAGATAATCGGAAACTTGTTGATTGTCCTTCATCTTGAGCATCATTAATTCATTTTCCGCTTCGCCGGATTGATCGTAAGGTCCGAAATTAGTTTCCAGTTCTTCCGCAAAGGTGTCCCAGTCATTGAGCCATACGGGTGTCTCGTCAGATATTCCAGATAGTCCAGGTTCGAACCAATCTTGAGCGATATCCTTGAGATAAGAGAGTGCGAAATTGACTTTTCGACTGTCGGATTTAAATGTGGCGGGTCGATCACTGAAACTGAAACGGCATTGGAGAAGGAAATTCTTCAATTTTTTCAGATCCTTGCCAGTAAATGGTTCAGGTTCTTTGACTCCGGTGCGGGATGATTCTTTACTATCCTCAGTGGATTTCAAGTAGTCAGCGAATTTCACAATGGAGTTGATAAACAACATTTCAGTTGGTTCGTCGGAAGATTTCTTTTTCGATGTCTCCAGCTGATCTTCTGCTTCATTGTCGGAAGTGTGGGGAACATTGGTGTCCTTCATTACCTCAGTAACCTCCTCGGTAACTTCTTCGACTGAAGCTATGTTGTCGGCTGAATTGGGGTTTCGGGTTGAGTGGTGTAAAGTTGCAACGGGGATTGAAGTTGGGATGGTCCTTCGGCAGCTTTGTGTTTGGGACCCATGATGAGTGAGTCGCAGAGTTGAGATCTGATATACTGTTAAGTGCCGTGTCAGGAACTTATTCTGGAACTATCGGAAAGTCACCGGGAAGTCAGAAACTATCAGATAGGGTCAGGACGTTGGCTTCAGCTTATGTGCTGCACCTCTATGCAAATGCTCAAAGTCCTTAATTTCAAAAGTAAGGCTTACGATGGAAGATATGGATATCCAGAGTTCTGAAGAGTTTCGAATATCGAGCGTACAGAAAGACGGGAAGAGGAATAAGAAACTAAGTCGATATCAGATCTAAGGTAAAGTACAAATTCGCGGAAACTAATATAAGTCTACTCGTTATTGTACTACAAACTAAGACCATAATAAGATAGAAACGGAAGTGTTCTTAAAATGGAAATACAATAAGACATATTAGGAAGACAATATTCCGAAATGGGAATATAACAACAAATGAGTGAATACTTGTCAACAGACAAATTACCAAATGTGGAACAAGGGAAGAATGCGGATGATACGGTAACTATGATGTTCCGTGGTCGGAGATCGGAGGTCGGAAGTCAGAGGTCGGAAGTCGGAGGTCGGAAGTTGGATATTGAAACATCCAGGAATGGGTTGTAACAGATGTGGCAGTCAGCGGTTTTTAGGCAGAGAAACCAATAAAGATAACCCACTGATCTAGCCCCAGCAAGCCAGCATCTGAGCCACCACTAGCTGGATATCTGGTACCAGCCCCCATCATGGCAGCTGTGTGAGAACATATTGAGACCCTTGCTTGCCAGGACACATTGGCAAGAAAAGAGGTGGAATTCAAACAGACCTTCGCCAACGATTTCCCAGTAAGATTACCCAATACTGTGGACATCCCCACATATATCTACCACTGCATATGCCTAAAGGACACCTCCAAGGTTACAACTGGGCGAGGATATTCAGCCCTGAAGAAATTCCACAATGCCTGGAAACTCTTACTTGAGGAACATCTAGCAGCAGGACACATTTGACCATCCCCCTCAGAATATGCCTCCCCAGCCTTTGGTGTTCCCAAATACCGCAATGGGGTCCCAACCTTGGACATTCCACCATGTTGGGTAAATGACTACCAAGAACTGAAACAGAACACCATTCATGACAAGTACCCCCTCCCTCGGGTGGATGATATTCTTTCAGACTGTGTCGAGGGATAATCTTCAGGAAGCTGGACATGACCAACTCCTTCTTCCAGACCAGGGTACACCCAGATACATCTCACGGCAGTGCACACCCCTTGGGGGCTCTGTGAGTGGACAGTAATGCCCATGGGAGGTTGCAATGCACCATCCGCACATCAGAGACATATGACCGACACCTTACGTCACCTCTTGGGCAAGATCTGCCATGTGTATCTAGATGACATTATCAAATGGTCACAGACCCTAGAAGAACACGAACAAAATGTGGCAATGGTATTACAGGCACTCCGAACAGCCAAGCTGTACTGTAACCCAGATAAGTCTACCCTCTTTGCAACCGAAATATGTATCTTTCCTTGGCCACCACCTTTCAGGTGCAGGGATCCACCCAGATGCTCACAAGACAGAGCGTATCATCAACTGGCCCCAGCCCACTACTGCCACTAATGTCAGGGGATTTCTGGGACTTTCATGATATATTTCAGCATTCCTCCCAGCATTAGTGGAACACACTAGCATACTTACCCCACTCACCACCAAGGAGTGTGATTGCCAATTCCCTGCATGGACATCAGCACACCAAAGTGCCTTTGAGGCCATTAAACAGTTAGTTATGGGAGTAGACTGCCTCACGGTCATCAACTATGAGGACCCAAACAAGAGGATCTTCCTAACCACAGATGCCAGCGACAGGAACACTGGGGCTGCCCTCAGTTTTGGCAACAATTGGGCGATGGCATGACCCGTTGCTTATGACTCCTACCAGCTCAACCATGCTGAGAAGAACTACCCGGCGACTTTATCAATGTATGCGCCTCCCTGGTCCGCACTCAATGATGCCTTATTTGTTCCAGTTGAGAGTGGGCATATGAAGGTAATGTAATTGGGACAGAGGATCATAGAGCGACTGTCCACTTTGGAGCGATTACACATTTCGCATTGTATGCCTGTATTGAAGGCATATCGTTGGCTGGATGAAGTTGTGCATTTATATGTTTAACAGATCACATTTGATAGAAAGTGATGAACAATATCTCAACAAAACGACTACAATTACATTTTTTGATAGAGATTGCTCGCCACAACACGATCCCATGGATACAATCCTCGAATATTTGTGATTCATCATTTGTATGAGTCAGTCATCATTTACACTCTTATATGTTTAATATCTACTGACACATAAGCACAGTATGAACTCTTAGTAACATATCAACGCCATGGTGCCCATGAACCAGCAGAGATCCATCAAGTGTTCTATGGCCAGCTACAGTATATCCTGGATTTCAAGCTGCCTTGATCGCAAGAACTCAATGTCCAGCATCCCCCTCGAACCGTCCTAACATGTGTGAAACCCTGCATCACCAATGGCAAAGACACCACCATTGAAGTGACATCATACAAAAGGATGTCAACAGTTATTTGGATTGATCTTCGGACAATTCAATGTGTCATGGGTTGAGCACACCCAGGATTGGTTCATTATTGACCACAGTGGTGGTACAGCACACATGGTATTTGTAGGATCCTAAAGATAATGACAAATAGCTGATACCCCCTCTGCTACATTTACCTGTTTACATTGTGATGCAGAGGCAGATGGTCGAGTTTGCAAGCATTTCAGGAACTTCATAGAAGTGCCTCATTTACCTTTCTACAAGCTCTCTCAGAAGGTATTTGATCTCAGTGTATTCATGCTCTTCAAAAAAGTGTCTTTTTTCCACAAAATAAAAATATTCTGCTCTTAGATGTAGATCCAGTTTGCACTATGTCCCAGTGAAAGCTCCTTATGGGCTT